CTGAGGTAATGGATGGAGGATCATCCTGTGCATCTAAACCACGAGAAACATTATCAATATCAAGGGAAAACGTTCAAATATGATACACTACTTTCTCAGTTTCAGTTAATACAAAGTGCTCTAGACTTTCATGGCAAGTGATAAGTATTTGTTGTTCTTTGTTGAATTTATGACCTTGCCCAGGTCATATTTCAACTGATGGTTGGAAATGCATTTAATTGTCATTCATTTGTACTTTTGACGGAATTGCTTAGCAACTTTATTAAATATTTTTATTCAACAAATAATATTTTATATAAATAATAGTAGTATTTAATAATAGTATTTGGCATTGAGAAATGGTGTGTAAGTTAAGGTGATTTTGTTTACATTGTTATGCCATTAGATGGAGACACGAGAATCAGCAGTAAAGGCTTTTATATTGAAAGAGACTGAAACGCTGATGTAAACAAGGAAGTTATTTTTACTCTCAACAACAGCTTGTAATCGGAGTCAACAAACGGAAATCACCCTTAACAAATGAAAGGATAGTATGACAAAGATATTGCTTTCCTCAACGGACATTCAAACTAATGTTTTATTGTGAATATGAGATTGAGCTGAAGAATGGAAGAGAGATTTGAGACAAAATGGTTTTTTAAAGACACTTCATGGTTGTTTCTTATTTACTTACTTTCCCATCGATCTGTTGTATAAATGGAATCACACTTATTATATTGCATTTAAACAGCCTGTCGCTTCATGCCTACGGGCAAATCACATCCATGCTGATATGCGATACTCTGTAATACTGCTTATTTATTCATCCAATGGCACTTTTAGCTCTGCTCATCTAATATGCATTTATTGATTGATTGATAAAAACATTTAATGAATTTTAAAAAATCACGGTCAAGCACCTGGCTAGTAAAAGCAAACACTAAAGCATTTACCAGCACTAGTCACTCTGTTAAAGGGCAGGTCAGCAGCCATATCCAGGCACAATCGAACTCTGGCCACCTGCTGCAGGTGCTCTATAGATGCAGTGTGTGCAGACACAGAATCAGAGTGAAGGAACTCCAGCAGAAAGCGTGTTTCCTCCTGCAAACAGATCTGCTGCTCCGACACAGAGTGCCATTGTGTCCGATCATACATTGAGTCCTGCAGACACAGGAGAAACATACAGTACTTTTAACCAAGCTTTAAATATATACAGTAACATATGTGTTAATATATTCAAGACCATTTCTTAAGAAATTAAACACTGAAAACACAACTAACATTTTATTAATTAGTAAAAAATGTAATTAATTTAGTTGTTTTCCAGTAAAAACATCTACACGTGTTTACAACATACATTTACTTTAGAACTTACTTTCTCTTTACATTTTTACATCGTTAAGCATAAAAAAAACTAACAAATAAATATATAAAATTGGTAAGGATTATGCACAGAAAATTAAATTACAACATATACTTGCAATCCCAGTCAAATGTTTGTACATACTGGATATAATTTATTGTTTGCATAGTTAACAAATATTTTAACTGTTGCTTGAAATGGGTTTTGTAGAAAAATATTATTTGTACCCATGTATGTATTTCTCTGACCAACTTAAAAATTGTATTAACTTATTATCATTATTAAAAGAGGTAAATTCAAGTGTTCAAACTAATGTTTTATTGTGAATATGAGATTGAGCTGAAGAATGGAAGAGAGATTTGAGACAAAATGGTTTTTTAAAGACACTTCATGGTTGTTTCTTATTTACTTACTTTCCCATCGATCTGTTGTATAAATGGAATCACACTTATTATATTGCATTTAAACAGCCTGTCGCTTCATGCCTACGGGCAAATCACATCCATGCTGATATGCGATACTCTGTAATACTGCTTATTTATTCATCCAATGGCACTTTTAGCTCTGCTCATCTAATATGCATTTATTGATTGATTGATAAAAACATTTAATGAATTTTAAAAAAATCACGGTCAAGCACCTGGCTAGTAAAAGCAAACACTAAAGCATTTACCAGCACTAGTCACTCTGTTAAAGGGCAGGTCAGCAGCCATATCCAGGCACAATCGAACTCTGGCCACCTGCTGCAGGTGCTCTATAGATGCAGTGTGTGCAGACACAGAATCAGAGTGAAGGAACTCCAGCAGAAAGCGTGTTTCCTCCTGCAAACAGATCTGCTGCTCCGACACAGAGTGCCATTGTGTCCGATCATACATTGAGTCCTGCAGACACAGGAGAAACATACAGTACTTTTAACCAAGCTTTAAATATATACAGTAACATATGTGTTAATATATTCAAGACCATTTCTTAAGAAATTAAACACTGAAAACACAACTAACATTTTATTAATTAGTAAAAAATGTAATTAATTTAGTTGTTTTCCAGTAAAAACATCTACACGTGTTTACAACATACATTTACTTTAGAACTTACTTTCTCTTTACATTTTTACATCGTTAAGCATAAAAAAAACTAACAAATAAATATATAAAATTGGTAAGGATTATGCACAGAAAATTAAATTACAACATATACTTGCAATCCCAGTCAAATGTTTGTACATACTGGATATAATTTATTGTTTGCATAGTTAACAAATATTTTAACTGTTGCTTGAAATGGGTTTTGTAGAAAAATATTATTTGTACCCATGTATGTATTTCTCTGACCAACTTAAAAATTGTATTAACTTATTATCATTATTAAAAGAGGTAAATTCAAGTGCATTGTGAAGAGAAAAAAATATATAAAAATTTTCAGCAAACACTGAAAATTCTCCAAAACTTCTTTAAAAGCATCCCAGGAAGTTGGCTTAGAGAAGCCCAAAAAGTGCAGAGATGGAATCTAGTAACCCTTTAGAATAAGGAACACATATTCACTATTAACTAAGAGTTTTTCCTCAATAAACTCCTAATTAGCTGCTTAAGGTAGTTGTTAAGTTTAGGTATGATGTGCATTAAGGGATCTAAAATATCCTCATGCAGAATAAGGCATTAATATGTGCTTTATAAGTACTAATAAACAGCAAATATACTAGTAATATGCATGAAAATAAGCAACTAGTTTTTAGTGAGAATAGGTCCTTAAAGTGTTACTGACAAATTATAGCTCATACATAAGACAAATGTCCAGCTTCATTAGAAAAGACAGCACTAACCAGTATAAACCAGCCTTTGATTAGCGTGCCATTTCTGCAGTAAAATTACAGAAAGCAGAACCGCTGCAAGGACTATGCCAAGTGTGCAACTGCACAGGGCCTCACTCCTGGCCTGCAATACTGTAGTTTATGTACAATTTTTTACAAAAATATCAACTAAATAAAATTCCTGCTGTCTCAATTCTATTATGCATAATCAAGTTCCCGTAAAAAAAACCTAACAACTCGTTATTTTTATTATATATATATTTTATAATTTTGAATGTCAATGCTGTGTGCTTGCTCTACTGCGTGCTCACTCCATCTATCTACTCATTCAATGAGGAAGAAGAAATGTCAGCCTCATAGAGCACAACTGCTTGCGTAGGCATGAGTTGGCTGGTGAGAAAAGGAAGAATTTCACAAATCATGGAGAGGATCGCTGGATAAGTTTGTCAACGTTAGCGCTTTTGAAAATGCTAAAATTGCGAAAACTAGCATAAACCACAGCATCCCTGTGACTAGCAATACGGCTGGACCACAACAAGATGAAGATCACGATGGCTGTGGTGACTAACAGATATTTCTAATCTGACATTTTAGTTCAATTAAACCATCACACTATCAATTTAGCCTACCTCGTTTTCTACTACAACTTATTAGGCACTGGTCTGGAAGATGAAGTCCCGATAATTTCTCAAAAATACACTTTTCCAATGATGGCTTGTATATCTGAAGAAAACAGATTCTATATTTTGCTTTTGTTGTAAACTGGACAAACCTTGCTAATGATGCCCATAATGATGTTGTCAAATTTGATCCCACTATGCAAGTCAGATGCATAAGAAATAAGGGTGCACATTATCTATGGCATGAAATTCAGAATGTCTGACCACAAATGTCAAAAACACTACTGTGAATGACACAAAGAGAGCAAAATACTTTTCTGTGCTTCTTGATTCTTTGTTTTGTCAATAGGACATCTTCAGAGCTGAATGTAGAAGAACACTTCATCGATTTCATCCCAGTAAATGACCAAACTATTAAATGCACTCCAAGCTGAACTAGATGCTCTTGGACTAAACATAAACGACTGTCAGGGCCAAGAATACAATGGGGCAAACATGAAAACATCAAAATTTCTTATTTCTTATCCATATTCTACATCTCAATCCCCAGAATGTTTTGTGCCATGCAGTTGCCACAACCTGAATTTCACACTGGGAGATATGGCAAAAATGTTTTTTTCTATATTTGCAGGCTCTCCTTAACGATGGGAAACACTTAAAGTGAAAGTCCTGTCTCTCCCTATTAAACCTCTGTCCGAAACAAGGTCACGTAGACAGTTTAAAAGCAATATGCTATCAAACAAGTGATATTAGAGACGCTTTGCTTTAAGTGGCAGAGGACTATAGTGACCCTAAAATCAAAAGAGCTAATTCCCTGCAAAGCTTTGAATTCCTTACGTCTATAGTCATACGGTATGATATTCTGTTTGCTGTGAACACTGTCAGTAAGACACTACAGTCAGGGGACATGCAGCTGGATGTGGCACTGTTGCAGCCAAATGGACTAACTTTAATTTGTGGCTGCAAAATTCTTCTTCAAAATGTATACAGCCTGCAGCTACAGTAGATCTAGTGTAGATTTAACTCTAGAATAGCTGTATGCATGTGATTCTGACTCTAAACTGAAATGAGACATGTCTGTCTGAGACATGATCTAAAATCTAAATGATATATACCCCCTATAGACCTGAGTTTATAAAATGTAACATTCCTAAAAATGTCAAAATAAAGTGACAGCTGACTTGACGATGTATGATGCTGTATTATTCTGCTTGTTAAATTATGGTTATATGTATTATGCAGTAGGACGTTTGTTACTGTAGAAACAGTAGACTCCCAGCTTGTTTTGATTCAGAATCCCCCTCCACAAAGACAGAGGGCCTCACATGCAAAGTTATATCATCAAAAAAAAGAAATCATAATTACAAATTACTAAATATAAGCAGTAATACATGGTGAGTGAACATGAGTTGATATACACACCTCCAAACTATTTATGTACAAGGAATAAAGCTCGGTTTTATCAGTCTCCTGAATGATGTTGCTTTGCTCAACTTCTGTCAGATGCTGCTGAAGGTAGTGCTTCACATCATCAAAGCTAAAAAAGGACAAGACAAAAACTATTACGATGTGTAAGAGGAGTGTGCTGCGAGCTGTTAAAAGCCCTGCACTCACCTGTACTTGAGCAGGAGTTTCAGCACCACTGAACGCACCACTGGATTTTTATCCACAGAGTCATCGAAGGGAGAAAGAGCCTTAGTCAAGAACTTGCGGTCTTGCCCTGCGAGGATGAGGAACAACGTTCTGGTCGTTTAATTCATTCTAATCCGTTTCTAGTCCTCCACACATATACCTTACAGACAGACGTACCTCTAATCTGAGGGAGCGAGCGGGCCTCTACCATCAGGAGGGACAACAGATGTTGGATGATGTCCATGCTGGGAGGAGTACTGTCCTTGAAGCATATGGTGGACACCAGATCAATGAAGAAAGCATTGCATCGCTTTCTGAACAATGCATTTTGATGGATCAGACCCCTGAAGACCAAAATAAGCACATAATCTTTTAGACTGACAGAGGCAAACAGAGAGATAAAGCACAACTATTAAGCTCAGACAATTAGTCGATTTACTGTATTGTCTCAGAGGCCTTGAGCTCAAAGTCATCAGGCACTTCAAGGCGACACAGATGTTGGATGATGTCCATGCTGGGAGGAGTACTGTCCTTGAAGCATATGGTGGACACCAGATCAATGAAGAAAGCATTGCATCGCTTTCTGAACAATGCATTTTGATGGATCAGACCCCTGAAGACCAAAATAAGCACAAACTCATCTTTTAGACTGACAGAGGCAAACATAGAGATAAAGCACAACTATTAAGCTCAGACAATTAGTCGATTTACTGTATTGTCTCAGAGGCCTTGAGCTCAAAGTCATCAGGCACTTCAAGGCGACACAGAGGACAGAGCATCTGACCAAGCACCAGCCACTGTTTGATACAGGTCAGGCAGAAGATGTGGTCACAGGGCAGACTCAAAGGATCCTGCGGATCTCCCATGCACACTGGACAAAGCTGACTGCCAAACCTGGGGACAAATCACCAATATTCAATAGTAGCCTCTTACTAAACCCTCAGAAAGTAGAACTAATAACGAACCTTACCTAAAAATGCTCTGAGATGCTTCATCTTTGCAAGCTTTGAGTATGATGACCACTGCCTCAAACGGCTGCTTGTTTTTGAGGTCCGAGTCCCAGACTCAAAGGGTCCTGCGGATCTCCCATGCACACTGGACAAAGCTGACTGCCAAACCTGGGGACAAATCACCAATATTCAATAGTAGCCTCTTACTAAACCCTCAGAAAGTAGAACTAATAACGAACCTTACCTAAAAATGCTCTGAGATGCTTCATCTTTGCAAGCTTTGAGTATGGTGACCACTGCCTCAAACGGCTGCTTGTTTTTAAGGTCCGAGTCTTGCTCCAGGACCTTCAGCGAAGAGATGAGTATTGATAAGCAGAAATGAAATTGTTTAAGAAGCTATTTTCAAGTAAGGACTGAAAGCTGACTCACTTGTGCTAGGCGTCGTGTGTGGTCAAGAACCAGTGGCCTGAGGTTCGAATGCACATCCTCGACACCCAGTAGCATGTGCTGCACAAACAAGGCCAGGGAGTATATGCGACGCCAGCCATGTCTAAAGTAAAGAAAATGTATTCATTAACTGAACTGTAAATAATTATATCAGTGCAATACAATATAAAGCACTGGCTCTCTACCAGGGAAAGGGGGCTTTTACATGTATTTATAGGTAGTGATTAATAGGTCAGTCAACCTATTAAAATGAAAATTGTTGTAGATAATGGGGGAATTTGGAATCAAAAAGATCGATAACCACTGATTTACAGTATCTAAAGAGGTATAAAGCCAATTCCAACACAAACAGACTGAAGAATGGCTTCTTTTCCAAAACTGTAGGTGCTATCATGTAGGAATGTAACACAACATACAAAGAACATGTACAAATAACGTTTCCCATAGGACAATATATTTTAGAGCTCATAGCTCACTGGATGTGAGTGACAATCCGGTTGCTTTTCTCTCCATAGTGGCGTAGGCTCTCCTCACAGCAGACCAGCTCAATTGGCACCTGTAGCTTTTTAACACGTCTAAGCCAGGCCAGACTTTGACCATCTTCATCTAGAGCCTGGGGCTCCAGGCATTCAATACAGGCCACTGCAGTGTACACATCTAACACCTGAGAAACAGAACGACTGTCAGAGAGAAGTAACCAAAGTAAAACATACACATCCGATCCATGTAATACAAATTATGCAAGCACTTACCAGTTCTGTTCCTTCTCTGGCACATGTGTTATCTAGAATCCTCTGAGCAATCTGAGGCTCTATACTGATCATCCTGTAGAGGTTCTGTATTCGGTCCTTGAAGCGATGGTAGGCAGCATGAACCCACGGCAGAGAAATAACTTCACTCTCATGGATTTCCTGACTACCCTTAAGCTCATTTACACCACAAGTAAGGGCACCACATAAGAGCTAAAAGGTAAAAACATATCAACACATGAACAAGTATATGTGCATGAACGTGCAGATGATGTATAGAAATGTATCGCTGAAAGAGTCTGACTCTCACCTCGAGATTCGCCACTGATGTTACCTTCATGGTCATGGAGATGAAATCCTGGAGATACCTGTGGAAAAATTCCATCTGCATCTCTTGGGTTGCTTCAGAGATGTACCCGCCCAAGGGGATCTTCCAAAAAAACTCTTCAAATTGATCTAGAGAGTGTCCTGTTGAAGAAATGCATGGACATTTATTGTTTGTTTTTCCTAGAACTGTCAAAAAAAAAAAACAGTAGAGGCCTGCACGGGCCTCAAATATAGGCCCTAGCCCAAGACGTTCAGGCCCTAAACCAACCCTTGACCAAGAACTTATCGGAATTCTTGGCCAGAGTCCGACTGGAGCCCGTGTATTTTTTTCTCTCTCTTCCTCATTATACAGCTGCTGTTGCAGCCATTAAAATAGGTCAGTTTTGTTTTTAATGGCAAAGTGGTTGTATTTCTTTTGTTTTTTTTTATTAAGTTAATTTAGAAATATGTTTGAAACATATTTTTTTTGTTGGTAAATTCAAGTTTTTCTTTTTTAAAGTAACGACTGAGCGACCAGTGACAGACAGTGAGTTGATCATATGTTTGATCAATTTAGCCTTCTCAAATGATCACGACTTAAAAAACACTTCAAGCTTATTTCAATGCTAGTTTAAACATTTAACCTAAATAAAAGTGCGCTATTAGGCACATATGCAATCGTTTGTGTGGAGAGTGGAAGCTAAAGCGTGCTTTGCAGGACATGAAGGAGCCAGCGTGATCACTTGCATTTTTTCTTATTAACAGTGGAAACAACTTAAAATACGCCGTCATTTTTACTCATAAAGATTAGAGTAATATATCATTCGGAATTGTAAAGGGTCTACTTTTATTTGTGTGCACTCGCAAGATCAACAAAACGTGCTTTTGTAAAATAAAGAAAACAAACTGGATGTGCTTTCTGCCGTCTCTGTCTTGAGCAGGAGCGCGCTTCACAATGATGAACTGAAACTCAGCGAATACTTGCCTCACAGACATGATAAATATATTAATAGAAAGCTTTAAATTACTACTTTAAAACAAAATAATTCACATCTAAAAAACTCTTTCATTATGTAATCTGTAAAGATGCATTTCTCTCTAAAGGCACGTCCAATGAGGAGATGGCGAGTCAGCATTGTCAACTTTTTTCTAATTACTTTTGCTGGGGCTTTGCAGCAAGCTTTAGCCTACTGCATGCGTTTGAACACGAAACTCTTCCAGCTGCGTTGACGGCACGCTCGCTGCCGCTGCTGCTGGTGGGGAAACACCGTCCGAGCCGGTTTTGACAGTCGCGGTAGCACGGTCTCGTTTTGTTTTCACCAGCGCGACAAATCTTTTTCATCACCATAATTGATGGATGTCTAAAATATAAAAATGGGTAGAAGCCTAAAACAGGCCCAATGCCCAGCCCTAGGGGCATAAATAAGTCGGGTCCGTCTGCTCTAAAAAGCAGCAATAACTGTCACAAGTCACAAGAGAACAAACCACACTGATTTAAGTGTGATTGCTGAAACAACAACAACAAACAGCAAGGATAGCAGTTAAGTAAATATACCTTCTTGCTGAAAAGCATGTACCCAGAGTTCCTCTAGATGATCTTTAATTCTCCAGCTGAAAGGCATGGTGCAACCCACATTGCTGTCAACTGCAATGTAGTTTTGAACCAAGATTGTCTTCTCTGAGCTGTTAAAGACCAAATGTTTATTTTTTTAGTTACAACAACATTACTTTAAAGCCAAGAAATTTATGCAGATTTGCATTGCATTGTGAACTGCTACACATTGTGGAATTACCAAAAATCAAGCTTGTAGCTAGAAGCATTAATGTGTTTTGGGTCCAAAGGCTTACACAATTCATCTTGAAATCAAATAATTACACACTTGTTGTCTAGGCTTGTGTAAGGAACATTCAGTAACTTGACATCTCCAAAAATTTCCAGCCACAATTTCCTCAAGGATTCATCAGAGTTATCCAGCAAGAGGTCTAGATTGCAGTCACGATCAATAATTGAAACAAGTTGTGCCAAAAATGGAGTTACTACTGCTTTTGTTGTAATATGATGTTTTGAGCACAATACCTGATTGTCTTGAGGAATGAGTTTTCCATGTCAAACTGCTGTAATGAGAGGAGCTCAATGTTTTGAACTATGTTCTGTAGCTGTTCAGTTTCTGTTGCGGTCAGAAGTCTTGAGAATGTAGTTACCTACAGGATAAAAAAAGATAGCAAGAAACAACTTTGTGCACAACTTGCAAAGACATAAATGTTAAATACTCAAAAATTTTTAAATACAATATGTTTACCTCTGTGAAAAAGGCATGGCTAGGCCCTGCTTGCTGTATTTGAGAAAGGATGAAGTCAGCAAGTGAGCTATGCTTCTGGTCTTCAAAGTACACCCTTGACAAGTGCTCAGTTTCTACTTTGGAGAAGGAAGTGCAGTCTAGCCTAACCACTGCATCTGGTGTAGCACAGTTCAAAAGGATCAATTTAGCCTCATCTAAAATCCTCTTCGAATCATCTGAAATTTGCCCGTTGAGCTGCTCTGTAACTTGCAGGACAACAGAGGCACAGGTGTCTGAGTGGTAGCCAATGAAAGCATCAGCAGGATGGTAGCAGCATGCTTTGGGAGCAATTGAGTGATTGCTTTTAGCTGCAATGAAGCATGCAACCCACTCCACAAGCTTCTCAGCAAGGTCCTTTTGCTCACTTTTTAGTATGGTATTGATGTCAAGATAATGTTTCTCCAACCTGTTGATCAATGGAATGGGAAACTGCTTGTATACAACATCCTTCTCCTCAATGACAATGAGCCTGAAATCGCTGTGCACTCTGCATTTGACTCTGTGAGTTCCAAGCCCCAAATCCACATATTTCTGACCTCCAAGCCATACATAATATTGGTTAAGAGCATCATACAAACTTTCGTACAAGTTCTGCAGGTTCAGAAGCACAATGGTTTGACCAGTTTCCATACAGATCTTCACACGGTTAATGTTGCGGCATATCTGAGTATACTCCTGGTCTTTTGGAAAGCTTGAACCAAAGATAATCTCTGGTTGGCACAGGTCTGAAAAAAACATATGCTGAAGAATTTGAAGGGCTGCATAGTTTTTGGTCAGAACCAGCAGGTATCTGCATTCCTCATCTTGACCAATGGCTGTGATGTTCTCTCTTACAAGCTCAATGGTACTGACATTCTCAAGTTTGGGTTTGATATTTAGTCTGCTGGTGAAAACTGCAACAGCATCCACATTATCCTTGCCACTGAAGTTCCTCAGCACAGCTTTCACAATCTGTTCTGCACTAGGCTTCTTCCTCTGTTCTGAAGCTTGGGCAACAGCAAATATCATCTTTATCAAGCTGTAATAGTCTCGCAAACCAAAGAAACCTCTGCCTTGTTCGTTACAGATGTTCAGGTAAGCACAGGCGAATGGCTGAAAGTACTCTCTTACCCTCTCAAGGATCATGGGATTCGAGGAACATATTCCTTCAGCAGTCTTAATCAATTCCCTTTCATCAGGATCACTACGTGAAACAAATATCCCTCTATTCATCTTGGCTGGATCCAAAGCCCAGTTAGAGATACCGATGAATCCAACCTTCTTGTGCGGTACTGGCTGGTCATCTATGCATCCCTCTTCCAACAAAGGATGTAAAGTTTTCAGGGGCATTTTCTGGGAATCTTCAGCCAAGCCTATCTCATCTAGCACTACCACCGAGACATACTCTGATAGATTCTTGTCTTTCTGAAAACGGGCAGACTGCTTGAATGTATTGATGATCCCATCTGGTGTAGAGTGAGGACTGCACTGGAAGGAAACAAGATGAATTTGCTTTAGCTTTTTAAACAAATCCGAATGAGCTGCTTGGCCTTGCATGCCATCTGCAACTAGAGTTTTTGACAAAGACTTAGAGCTTCCAGGTTTTCCAACCAAAAAGAGAGGTATTCTCAGTTCAATGCAAATAACCATCATGAAGACATTTTCCTTCAAGGCATTGTTTCGGGCAATAGTTTCACCCAATGGAACTCCACTCAGGAAAAGATCCTGAATAACTGAGATCTCCTGCATCACTTTCATTGGGCTGTAGGTCTCTGGAAGGTCTGCGCAAATGTTTTCTCTGTATTTCTGTTTATCCTCCAAGCAGGCATGGTAACAGACACCAACAGCCATAATTAATGACCATAGAATTGGGTTTGTTATTTCAGTATCCCTCTGATGTTGATCATTTATTTTTCCACTCTCAAACTCGCCAAGCTCTTTGAGTAACATTTCGTGGTTTATGTAGAACCAGCCAAAAACTTGCATGCAACGCTCTACGTCCCTCAGACTCACAAAACTACATTCATCCTGTCTTGTTCGCATATACATCTGTGAGGCTGACAGAACATCTGTAATGGTTGTGATGCAGTTTGAATCAATGGAATGGGTTTGAAATACCCTTTCAACTATTTGCTTGATGTACATTTTCTCAGTATGGTCATTGAGTTGTCCAAAGTCCCACACTAGTGGAATCATGCTAGGTGGTAAAGCATGCACTCTGTACACAAGCTGGCGAAGTGGAATGGATCCAAGTTTTTCATCTGTTTCCTCAGCACGAACTCTGTATCCCAAACCAGCTGACTCCAATCTCTTGATCATTATGTCTGTGTGTTTTCTGTAGGGGTTGCAAGCGGCAATGATTTGCAAGCCAGTGTCATCTGTCAAATTCTGTCCCATAGCAGTGTTGTCACAGAGGACTTCCTTAATGCTGCTAATGGCCTCCGTTGTGTTTGCTTCATCAAAAAACAAAACTTCTAAGTTCTGCTTGTTTCTTAACGCCATGTCCTCTGCTTCTCTCACTTTGGTGTAAATCATGTCTGAACTTGTCCCCCCATGAACCTTGACTAATTTTATATTGTCAGGGGCAATTCCACCTCTGTGCACCTCACAAAGGAATTTGATTAGTCTGGTCTTCCCACATCCTGTCTCACCCATGATTATAACGGGAATCCCGCAGCGAAAGCGCATGTGAATTGCCAGAATTTTCAACATGTTGTCTGTGGTAAGCTCATATGTTTCATCTGGGTCAGAGGGAGACTGTATTCCCAACACTCTGGAAAGTCTCTCAATTTTCTCATGTCGTGGAAGCTGGTCAAAATCAATATTAAAAGGAACTCTCTGTAGTTTGAGGCCCTCATAGAGCTCTCTGGTCATGATGTTCTGCTTGATCACTCTTTTTGTTAATGGATCAATAGCATCAATCCTTTTCTGTGCATTTGGATGAAGATGAAAGCCAATGAATGTCATGGACTCATGGTCATCATTGAAGAAAATATATGGATGTGGTTCTGACTCCCATCGTTTTCTTATCCTAAAGGGAGCCAGGTCCTCTTCATTGGCTGAAGAAAGGTCATTTTGCGGTCTTCCTGGACTCTGGTCAGAGATGCTAAGTGAAGGAGTGGCAAAATCCTTTGCCATGAGAATCATGAAATCAACAACAAATTTTTTAAATCCAAACAAAATGTCACCTGTAACAGAAACATCGCAGAAAACGGAGTTCTCACAATCCCTAAGTTGTAAGTTTAGGAACCAAGCAAAATTCCGCAACTCTGCCCAAGAGGGGTCTACGATGCCGCAGTACACAAACAACATCTGCAGGCATTCAACATGAGTGCCCTCAACTCCTTGGTACCTGAAGGTATCCAAATTAATACCATTGTAGAAACGTTGCAGGTACTGATAGGGCCGCTGGTAGGCCTCACTTTGGAACTCTTGGTCATCCATGAGGGGATCATCACCCTCTACTAATGACGGATCTTCCTGGATTCTCATTTCTAGCTCAAGGACCTCTTTAGGTGGACGGCAGTAAACACTTGGAAACACATCCATGAAAGCACCCTATCATAAAAAGGCAAATAGATTCATCAAGGAATTTGCATGCAAAAAATCCTACATGATTTAATTAAGTAATTTATATTTACTTACAGTTTTTCTGTCACTTTGTGATGTGCTGCAATCTGGTCTTAGTATCTCAATTACATACAGGTGCTCATTATTCCTTTTCCACAAATTTCCTTCTGAGTCTATGAGGTAACCAAGAATCAATAGCCTAAACAGAAATTCATGAAGTCCTGTCTTCACCTGTAAGTACAGAAACAATAATGAAAAACAGCAACAAAATGTCATTCCATTTGTTCATCACATTGATCAAAAACAGTAAATACAGGTAGCTACCATGGTGGTGATGTCAAAATGATAAACTGAAAGTTCCCGTTTCTTGAAGTTGTTGAGCAAGGACTTAAGGATGATATTTTCATCAACTCTTGGCTCAGTTAACCTGATGCACTTCAGCTGCGTAGGCTTATCGGTGATCTTTTTTAATTTCTCATGCATTCGTTTAATGTAAAGTGATTTCCCTAGAACACACAACAGAGATTTAGCTTATTTGACAAATTGCAGTGCAAAAATATTTAGATTCATACACACAGAAAACAAAGTTTGCATGCATTTATTTATTTATATTTTTATTTGGTCAACTAATAAGAATTCTGAATCTGAAAACTAACTTAAATCCATTATATTGAATTTATACTCACCGACTCCTGACCTTTCAGAGAATACAACTCCCACAAACTGTCTGTCTTTGAACACAGCAGCAGCACTGGATATGTCAGCTGGTACTGTAAAATGCCTAACAAGGTATTGCTGAATACTGATCATTGGTTCTTGGGGAACCAAGTGCAATCTAAACTGACTAAAAGCAGAGGGAAGGTATGCATGTTCCTTATTAGAGCTGCAGACCAACACCAGTCTGTAATAATTTCTGCTTTGTGCATTTTGCTGGTGAAAAAACTGCTCCACTTTGTAGCTCACTTCATAGGTAAGTTGGTCCACATAGAGCATTGTGTATATTTTCTTTCCCCGATAGCCATCAGAGAGACAACGCCTGAGGAAAAGCTCCACTTCTTCATATGGAGTGGAACCACTGCAGAGAAGTACTTCATCATAGGTTGGTAGAGGCTCTGTTCTGCTTCTCATGTAAATTGTAATACATGTTATTAGAATTTCTTCAGAAGGGCAGATTATCAGATTTGGTTTTCCAGTAGCCATTCCATTTGGCAGTTCTCTCTGAATATTACTTGTTTTCTCATCCTGTTTGGAATCACTCTCATATTGACTGGGGCTGTTGGCTAAAATTTCAAGAAGATATCCAAGGCTTCTGACGTCAAGGCAGTCTGGCAGGAAGTTGTTCATGTCTCGCATGTAAGCATTCCAAATAACATCTAGCTTTTCTGACCCATTAGCATGCCTCAGCTGACTTGCCAAGTTGTCAAACAATGCGCATGGCTCATCAGTATTCAAATCATGTTTAATCATGCTGGGAACTTCTGCAAACGTTTGAAATTCTAAGTCATCATTTTGCCTAAGGTCCTTCTTAATTACTTCATACTGAAGCCTGTGCCAAGCTTGTGTCACATCTGAAAAGGAGCAATTAGGTTTGATAAAGGAGAGCATCATAAGAACTTGATCTTTCAATTCAGTGTCGTTTTTCTGGGTGAGCTGACTGCACAGGCAGACCACCTGTTCTGAAGTAAAATAGTTTAAGTAATAATGCTGAGATCTCTGCTTATCCATAAATGACTTCCAGAAGCATAAACAGCTCTCCATTTTCCGACAGACTTCCGGCAACTGTTCTGTGACTTCACCTTCAATCATGACACTAACAACACTTCCTAAATCGAGGTGCATAATGATGCATTCTTCTTTACTATTACAGTTGACCTTTGCCTTCCAGTGTCTGAATAATGGATTTCCAGCAACAAACAAATCAATAAATGCACAGGCCAACCTCTGTACACTGGCAAAGACCTGGAAACAGGAAAGAAGTTCAGGTATAATTACAACAACCATGGTGAAAGACAGCGGAATAAAAAAGATAAAAGTTGTAAAGTCACCTCTGTAAATCGATTGACTTCACGCTGGCCCTGATCTCCTTTGCCCGACATTAGCATTAATTTATTCTGAAGTTCCCTGAGGTCTTCAAAAGAATAAACGCGTGTCTCACAGCCCTCATCGTGCTCTTCCATAATATGTAACTTCAGAATATCTTCCAAGCACAACTGAAAAAAAGCAATATTCAAGGGTTGATATTTCCAAAGTATTATCTGCATCAAATATAGTATTTTAACAGAATTGACAGAACTAAAAATATGCATTGTACTAATATATTATTGTTTTATATGTATAATGTATAATTGAATCATATGCTATATTATCATAACATAAAGGTGGTTTACTTTGCATCAGAGAATTAAAAGTGGTAACCAGTTCAATACATGGATTTACAAAATATTTGTATGCTTAAATATCTGTTACAATTAAAAATGTTTAAAATTTACATTTAATAATTTGCTAATAAAATGGCATGTATTTCAACATGTCATGCAGTCCTTCGTTATTCAATATCTGATATTTTTATGTAGCTGAAATATGCTATTAGAGGTTTACTATTAAAACTAAAATGATTAAAACTAAAATAAGTATTAACAATAAATCTGTACTGATACTTTGTTACACTGGGTGATCTTCCTCTTGTTTATTAATTATAACATAATACAAGTCAATAAACGCATAGTTCATTCCAAATCTCTTTTTTTTTTCTAGGGCATGAGCAATGACCCATTCGCAAATGAATCACTCTTTTGAGTTGATTTAGTTCAAAGACTTGATCAAACAAGTTGACAAATTAGTCTGACTGAGAAGAGTGTAATATTCAAGTGATAACAGAGCTTCAACCGGAATGTCGTTTTAAGAGTTTTTTTAGGCGATAATGTACTTGTTTAAAAAAACAGTCTCCTCTTGGCTTATATCGAAATCCTCCGACATTTTTCTTTACAAATCCTCGTTTTGCACTTCTAATTCATGACCGGTGTTTTGTTTTGCTCTGTCCTCTGCGTTTCCGTGTTCGTCATTTCTCACCGGTGCATTCACGACGCATACGTCCTATGTCATCTGCCCGGAACGGCTTCCGCGCACAACAGTTAGCCGCAGTTAGAGAAAAGTGTTTATAATGTTTTAAATATAGACATTTTTCATACAAAAATGCATTTATTCGCTACAGGACACCTTTATTTACCCCCCGGAGCCATGTGAGGCACTTTTTATTATGGATGGATGCGCTTTATTGGACTTCTTTTGGACTTTTGAAGTAAAATTTTTTTAAAAACTTTTCAAGCACTTTCAAGGTGCATTTTCAAGCTTTTCCAGCACTTTACCACTGTGGTAAAACACATGTTTCCATACATACTTCACGTTCTTCACTTTAAATCAGATGTTATTGTTCTATTAAAAACCACCTGTCTGGGTTGCATTGCCTAATATAAATAGCCAACATACAGGATATAAATTACAAAATTTGTAAAAAGAAAGAATTGACAGGGTATCTGCAGGATTTTAAAAATAAAATGTAAGGCTTTTTAAGACCTGCACAAATAAAATGAATACTGTATGAGTGGGGTAGGGCAATGTCTATGATGGTAACATATTAATGACTGGTACCATCAAATGACTGTAAAAAAAGTTTTATATAAAATATACGTTTTATATAGTAATAAACCTCACATTTTAGCCTTTAAACAATTTTTTAAGAAAAGGGATTAGTCAAAAGTATAAATTATTATCTTAATTTAAAACACACACACATCTTGCTTTGTTAAT